CTACAGTGGAGGAAAGGAAAAACCCTCCATGAATACTTCACATGATATGATGCAAACTGACAGTGAAGTGGTGTAATGCTGCACAAAGCATAACTTTGAATAACAAATATGAGACCACTGTGATTTTAGGCAAATGTTTTAAAAAAAAAAAAAAAAAAAAAAAAAAAAAAAAAGGGGTGCATGCACACTCGTACATTCAAGCACACACACATGCATACATACACAATTAAAGACAGTGCATTCCATATGCAAGCTTTCAAGCTGGTGGTCATGTTTCGCAAAATGTCAACAAACCTCTGCCTTTTTTTTTTTTTTGCAAATAAGGAAGAAAAAGCGCATCAGAGCTGGAGCAAAAAATGGGACATGCTAAAGTTTAAATAATAAACAAGACAATCTCCCTGATATAAATATTTGCTTGTAGTTTGTTTGAGCACATACTTAACTCCACTCACCCACATGTCCAATGCAAGCATGAATAACTGGCATTCTCAAATACTAGCTGGTTCTGTTCCAGCACAACTTTTTCCCCAAATCCAGACAGAGCACACATTTTCAGTTGCACAGTTGTCATCTAGGGTCTGGGTGGACCATGAACACATGTATAGGCAAACATACAGACAATTGTTGCTGCTGTTCTATGGGACAATTGCCCTCGTCTTTGCCCTGCAGTTTTACCACTCACATTAAATACACAAAGACAAAATGTCCATTTCAGCGTCAGCAGAGTGGTGGTGGTGGCGTGCAGCCCTCTCCACCAAAAAGCCAAACAAAAGTATGCCCTTGTTGTCATGGACAGAATATGCCATTCTGCAGCGAGCGGACTGATGCTGTTGTCATGCTTTACAGCTATAGCCCAAACACAAGGGACATTTGTCAATCATGAAGGCGTTAACTGACCAACTGAGCAGTCCTGGGTCTGGAGCTAGTGACAAGTCAGAAAACTATTATTCTCTCCCGATTTGCTATTCAATGACGAGCACAAAGCCCACCTAGTAGTGTAGCCTCTTAGCTGGAAGTTTGTTCTGCAATCAGTCCCCACATATCGCTAACAAAGTCAGGTGGTAACAAAGTCACAACAATTATCTGTGCAGTTATAGCTTTACTTTTACTGCTCTATGTATTTTATGAAGTCAGCATCTAACCTGAATAAAACAAGAGCAGAAAAGGTTTAACATGCAACACCACATAACTCTTAACAGGAAATCTTAATAAAATATATAAACTAAATAGATATTCCTGTCAGATTTAGTCTTCCTGCTTCCTGAAACATCACATAACTACTCCATAAACTCATGTCCAGAATTTTGTGCACACACACTGTACAGCCGTGTACATACATTACACATTTTAATAAGACCTATACATAGCGGTCCCTTTAATTGAGATTGATTTAATGTGACATTTTGAGATCAGCAGCGTCAGAAGCAGGGTTATGGCCTTTAAATTAGATATTTTTGGCCTGTGGTTTAAACAATGTTTCAAATTCTGTTTTATATTCTGCCAAAACTCACAAGAAAAAAAACACTGCATGCCTGTTCAGGCATTTAATTACTGCAGTAAAATACTGCATATTACATAACATACCAGAGACCCTTACTAAAAAACATGGACAGTCAATTTATCTGTAGGCGTATAGATTTTTGTCGTTGTAATAGACGTTTGCGTGTTATTTTATACCCATCAGAAAGCAGGCAGCCCTGTGTAAAATGTAAATGGCCCCTTAATAAAGCATGCTGCATTCAATACAGGAAATAAATGAAATATATTTAAACCAGTAATAAAAAAAAAGCTGATTTAATTTGAACATTAGGGTCAACAAGCAACTCTCTGCTCCTCATTTGCGTGATCAATCTGTTTGTGATGATGCTCAGTGTCCACATTGGCTGTTGCTATGTTACCGAGTCAAAAGGAAGAGGTTGGCAAGGCATGGATTTAAAAATGGCCTCTCTCTCTCTCTCTCCCTCTCGCTCCCCCTCTCTCTCCCTCAAGCCCTTCGGTCAAATGGTGAAAACTACTAATGTAAATGTAAGCCATCTCTCTATATGTGTGGAAGAGAATAATGAGAGGGCGAATTATAAAAACGTATCACAGAGAACTTCATATAGTTCATGGGGGGGGTATGTTTTATCAATCGTTTCAGAATAAAAGCCTTTGTCAACAACAGAAATATCTACTATGTTAAAGCAGGAATGTCAAATTGTTGTACTTCACCTGAAGCCGAGCAACACAGCAGTTAAACACGACATATAACCAACACATTCAATAGCCAGCATGTGCACACCAATCATTGGTGAACAAGAGATGTTTAAGAGTGAACTTGCTTGTTTTATCGGGTAACCCAATCAAGTAGTTGGGGAACAAATGTCACCAAGCAAAAAATGTGTCAGCCTGCTGTTTGCACTAGAGGAATATATTTCACACTGGACCAAAGTGGTGGGCCAACCGACAGACACTAAAGCCAAAGTCTTCCTGCCCAAGCCCTTAATGTAGGTTATGCCCTGTCCAGTCCTGCTCCTATTGCTTTAGCTATCCTACTACAAAATTACAGTTTAGCCTAAATCACCACCCTAACACAGTACACACAATATAACGAGCTTTAAGCAACAAAAGCATCAATACTCTTTATTATTTGTTTTGAAAAGGCCTGAGGAACTAACGTTACAGAAGTTTATTATTGTAACGTCGTCGAAAATTGAAACTCCTACAGCAGTGGGGTCTCAGCCACTTCCTCAACGCAATATCGCGCGCTCACGGGAGGTGATTTGAGAAAAACAAGTAAGCTAAATGTTAACAGAAAACACCCACCACGGATATGTGAAGCCCTCCCCCCCATCCAAAATACAGTATCATCTCACGGGAACGCGCATTTGATCAAACGGGGTCTTTTAGCCGACACAGAGACACTCCCTTTAAAACAAGCACGGTGCCCTTTAAACTAACTAACGTTACAACACAAACGTTAAATAACTTAAGTCCGCAGTTCAGATTTAAAACCAATAAAAACAGAAAAGAACCCCTCAAAGTATTGCAACATTGTCACAAAATGCAACATTGTAGCAACTGCTCAGGCTGGCTCGCGTGAGAAGGAAACAGTTGAGGACAAAAAGTCGCTCGGAGATGCCCCGAGAGAGTCCGGTAATCGATGGTTATTTACATCGATAACGGGCCCACAGATATGCAATTTAACCGGTAAAATGGTGTACTGTGTAACTGGTTTCATCCTTACCTACGCAGTGAACGAGTTTGTGTCGCCAAGAGTCAAGTTCCTGCCGAAAGCCGCGCCTGTCGATTGTGCATTGCTGCCTTTTACACTGACTCGCCATTTTCTATCGTTGTTGTCTGGCGGGCACGAGTACGGGAAGAGGAAGCGCTCTGCTATGTGAGCGCGCGCCTCTGTGTCGAAGAGGAAATCACTCCAGAGGGAGATGTAGGTTTTAGTCACACTAACCAAACCAAATAGTGCCATTAAATCAGTAAGTCGGTAATTAAGTAAATGAATATGCGAATACATACATTATATAATAGTAATAATAATAATATGTATATTTAGCCCACCAATATAAACAACAACATTATATTTTCCCTTAATAATCAATATTAATGTGGGGTTGAGGTTGATATCTTTGGTAGTTTGTATCAAATCAAATGTGGCTGAGGTATTTTTCTCTTGAAAGGTCATTACTGTGTAGCACCAACCAGGTAAAGCTGGCAACTGCTCCCAAACCCTTGACCCTCGTGGGGCCCAAAGGCCCCCAGATTTACTAAGTGGGACATATTGGGTAGTTATTGGATAAATTGACTAAAATAAACTGAAATGGTAAGGTCACAAGGCAGATACTGTATTTTTGACCTATATACTTTCGTCATGGTTGATGGCCTTGTATATGTACGACAACTACTCGATGGATTGCCATTGAATTTTGAACACACATTCATGGTCCAAAGAGGATGAAGCCTACTGATTTTATTGGTCCTCTGACTTAACTACTTGATAATTACTTGATAGATTGTCATGACTTGTTGTGCAGGTATTCATGGTTCCCAGATGATGGATCCTAAAAACTCTGATTATCTGGCTTTTTCTAAAGTCGATATACAGTATAAATGCTATCCTGATAAGGCTTTTTTCTGACTTAAGCTAATATTGAATTGTATCGGGGAAAAGCTAATGCCTGCAGTTACCCCGTGAAAAACATTAGCTGAATCCCTACACCAGAGACTGCATATGTATGTAGTGTTTTCTGTGGAATATAATAAAGTAACAATAATAATACTTGTTATTATTGGTAATCTTATTAATAATAGTAGTAGTTTAGTGGTGGTAGTAGTAGCCTAGTATTGGTAATAATAATGTAATGATAACATCTTAATATATAGTTAGTCTGTACTTTGTGTGCTATAGCCAACATATCTCACAACCTAAACTACAATTAAACTGCAGTAGTGTTGAGTGCTTCAAGAAGCTTCAGAAAAATGCCCAAGAGCCTTTTATTAATATGTCTGACACAGTCTCTAAACAGGAGGACACTAGGGCTATCAGAGAAAAGTTTTCAATGAGGGCCAACAACAGTCATGCAATGAAACAGCGCGGCGGTGAGGCTGCAGGGATGCTGTTCTAATGCTACCTTCAAGTGTTGGCGGAATTATTGCAATCCTGGGCTGAGCAGAGCATGAACGTCATGCACGAACAAAAGCAGCATACACACGACCTGAAGAGAGGGATATCTCTCTATAATAGTTGTTTAGTTGAGTCTTTATTGGTCAGAGAGCATACAAGGCAAATCAAAGTAGGACTATACTTAATATAATTATATAGAAAGACTTTTTTTCGTGTAGTTACTATGACACAACAATTTGTAAAATAAAACAACGGTCACCTAACGCTTTTACTGCAGATTTTCTTATTTTGTGACTTACCTAATGCATGTGAAGCCTCTCTCTAGACTCTTGAGCTCGGATTTAGGAGCTTACGAGGACCACCTGAATGCGGCATACGTTTCTCAGCCGGTGTTTTCATATTTTTACGCCCCTCCGCTCCTGTAGGTTGGTTCCATGCTTCAGAGACAACAAACGTAGCATACAGGTAAATTATAGCAATAATAGGCGTTGTCGCTTTTCGCTTATAGTTGTCTTGCAATAGGTAATAATCGATTTACATAGGCTTGTCATTATAGCGGTACCAAATTAGCAACATATACGTATAGGTTGCACTGATTGAAACAAATTGGCAGCCGAAATTGCATACTTACAATAACGTTCGTGTTCCAATCTTGGTGTGAGCTGAACATTAATTATTCGATGGCGACCAAATGGGTGAAACTACACCTGACTTCCATTCTGTAAAACACGGTCATTTGTGTTAGACACAATGTTGAAATGGTCACCATGCGAGCTTTTGTTGATATCTGCAGTCACGCTACAGTCACGTTTTACAGCCTGTTCCTTTACAGACGGCGTTTCGCCCCCAAGTGTGCTGTTAATTAAACTAGGCTCACACCAGCACCACCAACACACACTGGGCATTAATCAGACTTCTTATGTTGACAGAGGTAGGATCTGGTGCAAGTTGTCTTTAACTTTTGGTCAGACCCACACTTAAAAGTTCAACTACAAGAACATGCACTTACTCTAAGGCATGTAACAATTCTCAACAATTTCCACCATATTAAAAAATCTGAAGACAGAAAAAACCTGCGTCAGTTATATAATTGTGAAAGCTGCAAGTCCTGTAAAATAACCCTCAAACTAATTAATTCATGGGGTTGGGTACTGTCAAGAAACCGAATACTGGGCGGTCACATGACGCTGTATGGTACTGAGCCTAATGCATGATTTCTGTCTTTACTTATTTAACTGATTCAAGGTAATGCCACATTACAGTATGTTCTGTCCTAAATAGACAATTACTCCCGCTACCTCTCACAGCTAGAAGAGACTCATAGATGCCCTCTCACTCTGAAAACCTTTCTTTTAAATGTAAATTGTTGGTCACTGATATCGATGTGTTCTTCGGCTCTTTTGCCAATGAGTGTGTTTGTGTGTTAAAAACAGAGGGGACATGACTCTGACCAGAGGATCTTTCACCTATGCCAGTGGGGAAGAGTACCACGGCGAGTGGAAAGAAGGCAAGACAGTCCTGCTTTTCATTTTTAAATAAAGTTTGTGTACAAGCGTCACTAACTTAACTACAGAGATGAGACAAGCTTTCACTTGCACCTTCTGTTCTGTACATCTAGTCCTCATAATAACCGTGATGTTTAAAAATGAAATGTTGATAAGTTAATAATACACATATGATAATATCATGTAAATAATCCAGCGCCTTCGAAATCACACAGTTATGGTTACTAACTTTTGCTTCACTTGTATGTTCAGTATAATTTATTTGCCAAAACGCACAATGAACATAGTTAAAGATGAATTTGATTGATAGCATTATTTTTTTTGTTTTCAAACTTTCTAGAGACGTCGTGATAATATAATTATCGTGATTTTTTTGGCCACAGTAATCATGTAGTGAAAATCTGACATTGTGACAGCCTTACATTAGCTAAGGTAACAGCACTCTCTGCCTCAGGATGGGCTTGACGCCCATTAAATCATCAGCATGTAATGTTGTTATATTATGGAGAAGCTAGCAGGAATAAATGGCAGCAAATGTCTTCATGAGTCTGCCTGCATGTGTGCATACTGAAATGTTAAAACTTTGTCAAATTTTCACCTGTGGAAAAGGGTACAAGGACGCTTGCACTGCTTTAACTCTTTCTCACACACATCCAGTGATGTTAGTGACATGCAAGCTCAAGCTGTTTAATCAAATCCCAATTAGCTAGCATTGGCAACCCATGACGAACGGAGCCAGATTTACCAGCTCTGGCTTTGTCAAATCTTCTGGATTAGACTTTGGACCTGTTTGGGAAATATTAGAGAGTCCTCTGTCAGCTGTTGCTGAGAAACCAACTCCATCGAAATACTAGGAACAAGACCATCGGGGGGGTTTTGTTCTACCTTAGCATCAGGGTTTGGGATGATTTTGAGCTGCTTTTAGGTCAACGCAAACACTGTACACTCCATTTAAACTGGTATATCCCGTCACCCTTCAAGGGCAACTTGGCCCACTTTTCCTGTTTGGTAAAACCAGTTGTAGAAGTTGCCCAGAAACCTAAAGGTGTGTGCCCTCTGACACGATTTCAAGCTTCAGTAGTGGATAATAGGCTACTAAGAGGGGAATGCAAGTACATTCCTCGACTGCTTTCACAGTCTGGATCCTAAAGTGGAAATCCCTGCTAAAATATCTGCTGGATTAGAGTGCTGTAATTCCCACCACACAGGAGGCAGATGGGACTCCTAATTCAGTAGTAAACCTTTAGCTGACAGAGAGGGGGGAGGATACCTAAATCTGAGCATGCACTGAATCGTGACATACAGTTGTGTGAAAAAGTGTTTGCCCCCTTCCTGATTTCTTATTTTTTTGCACGTTTGTCACACTTAAATATTTCAGATCATCAAACAAATTTAAATATTAGACAAAGATAACACAAGTAAACACAAAATGCAGTTTTTAAATGAAGGTTTTCATTATTAAGGGGGGGGGAAAAAATCCAAACCTACGTGGCCCTGTGTGAAAAAGTGATTGCCCCCTAAACCTAATAACTGGTTGGGCCACCCTTAGCAGCAACAACTGCAATCAAGCGTTTGCGATAACTGTCAATGAGTCTTTTACAGCGCTGTAGAGGAATTTTGGCCCAATCATCTTTGCAGAATTGTTGTAATTCAGCCACATTGGAGGGTTTTCGAGCATGAACCGCCTTTTTAAGGTCATGCCACAGCATCTCAATCGGATTCAGGTCGGGACTTTGACGAGGCCACTCCAAAGTCTTCATTTTGTTTTTCTTAAGCCATTCAGAGGTGGACTTGCTGGTGTGCTTTGGATCATTGTCCTGCTGCAGAACCCAAGTGCGCTTCAGCTTGAGGTCACGAACAGATGGCCGGACATTCTCCTTCAGGAATTTTTGGTAGACAGCAGAATTCATGGTTCCATTTACCATAGCAAGTCTTCCAGGTCCTGAAGCAGCAAAACAGCCCCAGACCATCACACTACCACCACCATATTTTACTGTTGGTATGATGTTCCTTTTCTCAAATGCCGTGTTACTTTTACGCCAGATGTAATGGGACATACACCTTCCAAAAAGTTCAACTTTTGTCTCGTCAGTCCACAGAGTATTTTCCCAAAAGTCTTGGGGATCATCAAGATGTTTTCTGGCAAAACTGAGACGAGCCTTTATGTTCTTTTTGCTCAGCAGTGGTTTTCGTCTTGGAACTCTGCCATGCAGGCAATTTTTGCCCAGTCTCTTTCTTATGGTGGAGTCATGAACACTGACCTTAATTGAAGCAAGTGAGGCCTGCAGTTCTTTGGATGTTGTTCTGGGGTCTTTTGTGACCTCTTGGATGAGTTGTCGCTGCGCTCTTGGGGTAATTTTGGTCGGCCGGCCACTCCTGGGAAGGTTCACCACTGTTCCATGTTTTCGCCATTTGTGGATAATGGCTCTCACTGTGGTTCGCTGGAGTCCCAAAGCTTTAGAAATGGCTTTGTAACATTTTCCAGACTGATAGATCTCAATTACTTTGTTTCTCATTTGTTCCTGAATTTCTTTGGATCACAGCATGATGTCTAGCTTTTGAGGATCTTTTGGTCTACCTCACTGTGTCAGGCAGGTCCTATTTAAGTGATTTCTTGATTGAGAACAGGTGTGGCAGTAATCAGGCCTGGGTGTGGCTAGAGAAATTGAACTCAGCTTTCCAAAGATGTGATAAACCACAGTTAATTTATGTTTTAACAGGGGGGG